ACCTGGAGACAGCAGAAGAGAAGAGAAGAACTGGAGAAAATCACAAAATATAAAGGCCTGCAAATAGAAGTAGAACAATTGTTACAAAAGAAAGCAAAGATAGTACCAATAGTTGTAGGTGCCTTAGGTGCAATCCCAAAACATCTGGAGCACCACTTGAACACCATTGGCATTGACGAAATCACTGTCAGTGAATTGGAAAAAGTAGCTTTATTTGGAACACCTTATATCTTGCAATGATGCCTTTAACACCATGCAACAACAACATCTGCCTATCCCAGGTTCTTGGGAAGGACTTGATAGGTGGATAAAAATGCCAAATCCAGTCTAAACATATGGCTGACTGTGTGACCAACAACAATAATAATTATGCAAGCAGTGAAAGAAAACTCTCCCTAAATTGCTCACAGATAACTCAACAGGATAATGGGAAGTATCTTTCCATACAGACAGTTTAGATTTTTAAAATAGTACTTTTCAAATTTCACTTTTTACATGCTTGCATATATGTACATATACAGACTGTGTAGAGTAGTTTGTGGTTTAGCATGTTGTGGGAAATCAGCTGTTGTCTTAGAATGTTGTGTGAATCAGACCATCACATTAAACCAAAATATGTTTGGCATTTGAAATAAACTATAGTACAGCAATATTATTTTGTTGATTCACGGTTGGATTTTAATGTGTTGCATGAGTCCAGCCTAAAGAAACACAATTTTTCATTTCCTCTTCTGGAAAAAATAAGTGGCAAGATCACAAGGTAATATTTTGATAGAGCATTTGTGGCAAATAACATAGAAGAGAGCTGAAAATTAATAACTTAATTTTATTTAGATTTTTAATCTTGCTGAAATTTCCACAGGGCTTTGCTCGAATGTCTTCCGAGATAGGCCGTGAAAAAAGTCAGGACTGGGGTTCTACTGGATTAGGGGGAGTGTTCAAAGTGGAATGGATTCGGAAGGAAAGTCTTCCTTTTCAGTTTGCTCATCATTTGCTCAACCCCTGGAATGACAATAAGAAAGTACAGATAAGCCGAGATGGCCAGGTATGCTAATTCTTACACTGTAAAATCAGATTTTCTTGGTTTTTTTAGTCTTTATTGTCAATAATGTCTTGATATAAGTAGTTTTTTCAAAGCAATAAAGGGTAGTCTTTTGCACTTCTGGAAATATTTTTGGAAAAAAATAATGTTTTTGTTGTTATGAAAATAATACTGAGTCTGATTGCCCCAATTCTGCTTATCTTTATAAAGTGGTTTGCTCTTTATAAGCCTGAATTTAAGTTTTAGCAATTCTAAAAGCCTTTTTTTCTCCTCCCATGTAGGAACTGGAACCTCAGGTTGGTGAACAGTTGTTACAACTGTGGGACCGTATTCCTTTAGGGGAGAGAAACACAGCTGATTGAAAATAAAAGGGCAGATTTGGAGGTAGGTGCTAGTCCCAGGTTGGTATTATTATAAATGAAGGTGTTGAGATTTCCTTTCTTTACTGCTCTGTTTATTCATCTCAGGCATTTAGATGAAAGTGCACTGTAACTTGGGAGAAAGTAGCAGTTGCCATCAAAGCATAATGTAAAGTTAGATGGCCCATACATGGCACTATACTTAAGGCCAGAAGAGGGAGAAGCAGAGCATATACTCACTGCATCATGGTAGTAGCAGCAGAGGGAAAAAAGAGTAATGCGGGAATGTATCTGTGAGGCCATTGCAACACTTTCTTATACCTCAAGACACTTTTCCAGAACACAATTTGTACCACAGACCTTTGCGAAACAACTGAGAAAACATCATGATCCTTTACCAGAAGGCAGATGTTTTGGTTACTGCAAAAATAATAGTTATATTTTAACTTCATCATTCTCCTCCACAGTTGCACCTCATATGAGGTCATTCTAAAATCACCAATCCTCCTACAGAAAAGAAATACCATAATGAATAGAATTGAAGGAAACCAGTGGCATTTTTCAAGCACAGACTGAACCGAATGGGCTGCTGTTACTTTTCACTAGGAAATTTGTTCTTCGCCTTGGAAGTTCCACTGTTTGGACACCAAATCAGACAGAAGCACCTGGTGAACTATGAATAATGTTGTAATTATATTTAATACGTCTTTGGAGAAATAGCTAAGTCTACAGTACATAAGTATTGTGTTTTTTTTTCAATAAGGTCCTGTTCAGAAATGCTAAGGGAAAAATAAGCAGCATAGAAGTATAAAGATCTGAACTAATTTTACTGTTGGAGTAAATATATAAATGAGGGCTTCCTCTCTATTTAAACTTGAATCAAACTATTTAAAACTGTCTGCATTTTAAGGGTCCCTTTTTTCAAAGCTGGTTTCAGGGTGTTTAGTCTACATTCTGTCTAGTATGAGTTCACAAAAATAGTGTTGGATATTTTTGTATATTCTAGTAGCAGGTGGACCAGAACTAATTTCTTCAGTATCAGAGAAAAGGATACTTGAAAAAACCATGTGGTCTTAACCATGTAACAGCCACAAGTACTTTTTTTTCCTCTTTCCCACCTTTTAAAATTTTTCTTTTGGGTACTTCTAATTTTTATTTTTCTCTTTGTGGTTCTTACGATTTTAATTTTCTTAATAGCTGACTTCTTACTTATGTCCTTATCTGATCTACTGTATTTTGCTTTTAGAGTGGTATTCACCACTGTAATCTGTAGTTTTTTATCTAGTGTTTTGAGAAGTGCTGGGTCAGTTCAGCAAGAGGAAAGGAGAAATGTTCCACTAAAAAGAGATGATACTTGCGTGCTTCTAAACAAGGTTTGAATAGAGTTAAAGAACAATTTAATTATTAGTCATGTTGTAATCTAATAATGGAAAAAGAATGCCAATTCTTATCCAAAACCTCTACATGGAAGAAAAAATTATAATGAAAGGCTTTCATCCTCAGCAGACTAGTACAATAGAGCTTTAGCCAAGATTCTGGATTTGTTGCCTTTTTCATTCAAAAGTTACTTTTTCTACATATTTATCTATAGTGTGATTTATTTGTAATTTCTACACATCTACATAGCATTCTGTTGTTAATTAACTGTAAAGTGAATCTCTTAAGTTTTATTATGTTGAAAATAACGTGTCTTAAAATAAAGTTCTTTTGTTTTAGTCATGTGGTTTAGAGTAATTTATAATATTGCCAAACATTTTTACCAAAAGGTATATATTGACCTGGAAATGTCTCTTCACTTGTTGATTGTTAAACTGCATTCAAAATGACATATGTAAATAATTTTAGTTGTCCTGTGGTCACCTTGGCTAAGTGCATTGCAGTCAATTGTAATGAATAGACATTGGCAAAAATTGTGTTTTGAATTTGAAAAAAACTCAACCTTGATTGGGATAGGTTTTCAAGATTGATGTCAGCCTTTCCAGGTAGGCCAGGTCAAGAAACAGAAATCACTGGGGTTTCATTCTATTTTGTTGTTGTAGAGTAGAACAAAGAATCTTGAAAGCCATTACGTTTCTCTCTGTCTCATCCTGTACCAAACAAAAACAGGGTGGGGTTATTTTGAGTTTCTTTCACACACTTACTTCAGTCTCTGGACTCTGTGATCTCTTGTCCAAGTCCCTCAGCTCACTCATACCTTCCCCAAGGTCACCTCTAAATTTCTTTAAAGTCACTGATATCCCTCAGTTTCCTTCTGTATGTGAATCATAACATTTTCATAGGGCATATTCCATCTTCCCCTGGAAAATGCTACTTTCCTGCCAGGTTGCTTTGGTTCAGTTTCAGCTTACCCAGCAGGTGGGGAGCAGCAAAATGGAGGCTCTGTTATGAGAATATATCCACCAAAGATTAGCAGGCCATCTTGGCTCTGAGGCAAGGAGGATGTATTGATGTGATATTGTTCTTTTGTTGATTGACAAAGCAAGAGTGATCTAGTAATGAAGCGTCATATTCTACTATATTCTCTACAAATCTAAGATGACCCTCCCATTTTAAAGATAAATTATTGAGAGAAGTAGTTCTACCTTCAGGTAAATGCAGGAATAGCATTTAACCATACTGGGTCATCTTTTGTTAGTAGTAGTTTCATGCCTCTCAGAACATATATTGTGTAGAGGAAAGGAAAGTATAAAAGAAAATTCAGTAAGCTCATCAAATTTCCAATTATCAAGAAATATGAGGGCAGCAATGGAAACAAATTACATTGCAGAATTTGATTCTTATTATCTTCTGCATTGACTGAACAGGGTTAATATCTATGAAGGGCTGAAATCAGTTCATTAGAATGACCGATTGCATTTCTATTCACTCTGCAAGATCTCACAGGGAATTAATTTGTCTGTTTGGCCTAGGTATTAAGCATGTTTTATTCTGTGTAGCAGGAAACAGATTATTTTTAAATTGAAGATTATAATTTAGGATTGATTAGGAGGTGTCTTTCATTTCCTCCCTTTGCTTAGAAAGTGCTGTTTAAATTGGTCAAGCTGGTGGGGATTATGGGAATGAGAGACTACTGATTTTAGCAATTATGTTTACTTCCTATAACCTAAAGCTATACTGCATCTGCTAAAATGTGTTGGAGAATTCACAGGAAAACGTCTTGCTGGATTCATTCAGTGGTACAAACACTGGGATGAAACAATGTATAAAGGATGGAAGTGCAATTTGTACTCATGGCTGCTGAATGGTACAATGAAGCAGTTAAGTCAAAGGATGCCTCACGAGTTTTGATACAGAAAAATTTAGTGGACAAGTTAGAAAAAATCTCTACTACAATAAAACTATTGTTTTCATATCAGTTTGTTTTCCAGATACTATACTTACAGGTAAGACATACATCTCAAGGAATTTGTTTAAATTAGCAATGCTAGATTTGATTTTTGTCTTGAGTACCTGTGAGACAATCTAAGTTTCAGAAATACTAACATCTGCCCTTGTCATGGTCTGATTGTTCTCCAATTGCTATGGAGTTCTCTAGTGCCATGAACCACTGCCAGGAGGATGGACATATTTGGTTTGTCCACCCAAGACATCTAATGGAACTATTAGGTTTCCTGATGATATTTGGGGAATTTCCCAAACTGGTGGTAGGCAGTTCCACCAAGGTTTTCACTATTTGCTGGAATAAGGAGGTGACAGTAGCCTCGGATAAAATTGTATTCAAATGGCTTCTCCCGGCTTGCTGACACAGGCTGGCTTCCTGGTTCTTTGAGAAGCTCTGGGGAATGAAACAAATCGAGATGTTCAGAGCACCATTGGTTAAAACAAGGAGCAAATCTGACAGAGCACAGATAAGATATAGCTTGGGCCTATACTTTGGTGATAAGAGTGGCAAAACATCAATATTGCATTCACAAATTGCATCCAGTGGTTCTTTTCAATGTGACCTGTACCCTACTCAGTAAGGAGAGTCAGGAAGATCATCTAAAGAGCTGATGGGAGGAATTTTTTGGCATCTGAAGGAGAAAGTCACTCAGATTTGCTCAGAGCTTGATGCCAGCTGGGCAGGTGCAGAACAGATGACTGAGGCCCTGACCTATGATGTTACCTTGGGTACATTTGATCCTATGAGTTCTAAGGAAATGGGCAAGGTCCTCTGCAGTTTCATCTCAATCACTTGTAGTCTGGACCCTTGCCCACCTTGGTTGGTGAAAGAGAACAGGAAGGAGGTGACAGTTAACAAGTGGGTCAGGATGATGGTAAATATATCCTTAAGAGAGGGATTGTTATCCTCTTTGAAAGAGGTTGTAGTGTCTCCAAGAAGCCATTACTCAGTCCAGAAATAGTGGACAATTATCAGCCTGTTTCCAGTCCTCACTTTTTGGGAAGGCTGTAGGTAAAATGATGGGATCTACAGAGGGCTCTGGAGGAAATGGATTATCTGGACCTGTTTCAGTATGGATACAGGTATGGGTTCAGCACAGAGACAGTGTTGTTCATATTTATTGATGATCTCTGACAGGACCAGCTTAGGAGTAGTGTGACCCTCCTGATCTTACTTGATATTTCAGCAGCCTTCTGTACTATTGATTATGGTATCCTTCTGAGCTGTTTCTGATAGCAAGGAGTGGGGAGTATTGTACTGCAGTGGTTCTCCTTCCTGAAGTGACAGTTCTAGGTGGTGGTAGGGAGGGGAGAGATCAAGCCCTGGACCCCTTAATTAGGAGGCGCAACAAGCCTCAATGCTGTTCCAGCTGCTATTCAAAATCTATGTGGAACCACTGGGTGAGATAATCCAGTGGTATGGGGTCAGGCTTCATCAGTACAACTGTACATCTCAACTCTGGCCAAACGATACTGTCTGGATTGGAAGGAACAGGTTGAGCAAGACAGAGTGGCTGTGGGTTCAAAGACCTGCTGTTTCCAGTGAGATTCATCATTAACTCTGAGCAGGATTGTGCTCTCCTAGGCAGAATTAGTTTGCAATTTGGGGGTCCTCTTGAATTCACAGCTCCTGTTTGAGGAATATGTGGCAGCTGTGGCCAAGAGAGACTTTGCACAGCTCCATCTTGTGCACCATTTGCAACCTTTCTGGAATAGCAGGCATTACTGTCACTCCTGCCTTAGTCACCTCTTGATTAGACTAATGTAATGTACTGTACCTAGGGCTGCCCTTGACGAACTTTCGGAAGCTGCAGCTGGTCCAGAAGACAACAGCTCAGGTAATGATGGGTACACCTTGAGGCACCCACATAACACCTTTACTCTGAGAGCTGTCAGTTGTCAGTTGGCTTCTGGTGCAATTCAAGGAGTTGGTTGCCACCTTTAAATTCCTTCATTGTTTGGGGCTGGATATTTCCCTTCTCCCTGTCACAGCTGCCTGTCTGATAAGTTCCAATAGGTGGGCTCACAACATGTGTGTCTTTAATCACTGCCCCCTCTAAAGCAGCATCTGCATCCCCCCAATGTGTAATCAGCCCCTTCACTTCTGGCTTCTAGGAAGCTGGTGAAAACTTGATTGTTCCACCAAATCAGGGAGGTGGACTGCTGCAATTGCCCCTTGGTTGTGAGATTGTGATTGTTGTTAATGTTTTTATTCTTGGCTCTCAGTTCCATAGAAATATTTCTAGTTGTAAAATCATATATGATTTTAATGCCAATTATGTATTGGAAAGCTGTATGCTATTTAAAAGTTGGCAGATTGAGGCAGCCTACAAGCCATGTAAATAAATAAAATACAATTGGAATCTTCCTTTCATAAAAAGCAGCACAATTATGTTCTTGGCAGGTTGCAGGAGAATAGCACCGTTATGCTAGGTGGTGCTCTTGTATAAATGTTTGCCTTTTTAAAAAAACAGCTGCTTCATTATGCCTTCACAGTTATATGGTATGCTTCCTAGTACAGTGTTTGTCACTGAACCGGACTTCCCAAATTATGGGTTGCCCCCTGCCTCCCCCTAGAAGGGGCCTAAGCAGCTTAGTGGGGGTGGCAGTGGTGTTGGCTTGTGAACGTTTTTAACTTTTGTTTCAAGCTGACCTTGAACTACTTAGTATTACTAAACTTATAAACTGGTTCTCCACCTGTTTCCTTTTCTCAGATTATATTTATCTGTTATTTTAATGGATGTTAAATTTATAGCTCACTGCTGCTGAGGAACAGCAATTCATTGATGTCTTTTCTGACACTTCATTGAAAACAGGATTCCCAACAATGTTTCTCAATGAATTCTGAATCAAAATGAATACGAAGAACTAACTGAGAAGGCTATGAATACACTGATTCTATTAGAACATTCTGTTTGTGTGGGTCAATGCTTTAATATATAAATTAAAATTATTAAAAGTATATACTGTAGTATATTTATTTCTGGCCAAACCCTAACCCCAGTGAAATTATTGCATGGGGGTGTTCACATTCATTCATTTATCATTTTAGGGGTTCTGTTATCATAACATTGGAGTACCCTGGATGAAGTCAAAACCAACAAACCGCATGATGGCTTCCTATATTGCAAAAACCCAGCCATTGGGTTTAATTAACATATATAACAGGCATGGCTTGGATGTAGAATAGATGAATACATGGAAAACCTGCTTACAGCCAAAGGGGTGCATTTGATGTCAAGAAATGTAAACACAGCAAATCAAGAGATTGGGTGAATTGTATCTCTCTAGAAATACTGTTGTTC